TCCACTTTGACAATACTGCTGTTTGCTGTGCCCCTTCATCCAGTTTTGGGACAAGGGAGTGTTAGATGCACTAGCAGATTTAAATACGCTAAGAAGACTGAAGCCAAACTCCAGCCAATACTTTATAAGCAGGTACAGCAGTTTTTTTTCTCTTTTTAGAATAAAGATTTTACACGAATAAATAAAACCTGTTCATCATAAGAACCCCTGCCATTGCTAAATGGTCTGTCTCAACCCTGAAAATGCACAAGAGTTTTTCTATTGAAAAATAAACTTACTGGCTGAATCACCAGATGAAATAGAAGAAAGCAAGCCTAAAAAGTGAAACTTATAATGCCACCACATCTTAGAATTGGTAAACTGCAATATAATAAATGTTTGGTTTTGGGTTTAATACATCTTTAACCATTTGCCGCCCGCCCTATGGCCGAATGGCGGGCGGCAAATGTCATCAGCGTTCTGGGTGGACGCCATATGGCGTCCTCCCGCACATGCGCAGATTGCGCTCCTGCAGAGCCCATCAGTGGCGCGATCTGTCACCGGCCGTGTACCTCGGACATGGCCGATGACAGATCTGAGTATCGGCCCCGTTGCTGGTACCATGTGACCTGCTGTGACCAATCACAGCAGGTCACATGACAGTTGTATACAATGGATGGTTTCATTCATGCCATCCATTGTCTACTAGTGTCTAGCTGTGAATGGTCACAGCTAATCACATGCACATGTCATGTGATAAGGTGTGGCCAAATCACAGCTAAGCACAAAAAAAAAAAACCCTGAATGAATCGATGTCATTTAGGTAAATGCTTACTTATAGCAAAGTAATTCTTTGCTATAAGCAAATTGTGTAAAAAAAAAAAAAATACTGATCACTTCCCCAAAGTAGTACAATGTTACTATGGTAACATTGTACTACTTTGGTCATAGTGAAATATGAAAAAAAAATCTTAAAAAAAAGAAAAAAAATTTAATAAAAAATAATAAAACAAATTAAAGAAAATAAAAAAAAAAATATATATAATTTTTTTTCATTCTGTCACCAGTCAGTGTCCCTGATCACCGCCATGCCAGTTATATGATGACGCTGTACTGCACTGGTGACAATATGTAAAAAAAAAAAAAAAAAATAGTGAAACTAATTTTTTTAATTTTTTAATTTTTCGAAAAATTATGACCAAAAAAATACAACTTCAAAAAACTCGCCATGCCTCTTATGAAGTACATCGGACTGTCTACTTTGCAAAAAGGGGTCATTTGGGGGATATCTGTACTGTTCTGACATTCTTGGACCTCAAGAAATTAGATTGGCTGTCAGTACTTCAGGATTGATCAATATTCAGATCTATACCATAGTTTGTGAACTCTATAACTTTCCTACAAACTAAAAAATACATGCTAATTTGGGTTATTTTCACCAAAGACATGTAGCAGAATACATCTCGGCCTAAATTGATGAAGAACAATTATTTATTTGCAAACTTTTTTTAACAAAGAAAAACTTTTTTTTTTCAAAATGTTTGGTCTTTTTTTAATTAGTTAATTTAGCCAAAAATAAAAACCCCAGTGGTGATTAAATACCACCAAAAGAAAGCTCTAGTTGTGTGAAGAAAATGATAAAATTTTAGTTTGGGTACAATGTTGTATGACCGTACAATTGTCATTCAAAATGTGAGAGCGCTGAAACCTGAAAACTGGCCTGGGCAGGAAGGTGTAAAATTGCCCAGTATTGAATTGGTTAAATATGTCTCTAGAGCAGGGGATTCAAACTGGCGGCCCTCCAGCTGTTGCGAAACTACAAGTCCCATCATGCCTCCACCTTTGGGAGTCATGCTTGTAACTGTCAATCTTGCAATGTCTTATGGGACTTGTAGTTTGGAAACAGCTGGAGGGCTGCCAGTTTGACACCCATGCTCTAGAGCAACAATCTACACAGGGTGGTAACATAACAATCAACAATATTTTAATAATCCCCAGGCAGCTTTGTCAAATGTGAATTCTGGTTGGCGGTTATGGTTGGTGGCACTTTGCTTTGCTTACCCTTGTTGAATAAGCATTACAGATGAAAAGCAGCTTGAAACAGGTTGATGCAGTTTAGAATGATGTCAACTGCTGGTCAAACTCACCAGTCAATGAACTATGAATAATCTCAGAAGTACCCTATACTAATCTCAAACACAAGCAAAACACACTTAAAAGAACAATACATTTGTCTCTTGACAGAATCCCAAGGCCTGTCAACACAGGCCTTTTGTGCTAATTCACATAGGCAGAGTTAAATGCAGGCAGTTAAGCCACAGTTTTTCCATCCACCTAGACAAAGAAAAACAGCTGCTTAGGGCTGTAACCATGCCACAGTACCACTGGTACTGCTGTTGGATGCAATCCACTCAAGTGAATGGGGCCACACTGAAACTGCTCTACAACTATGTACATTGTAGTACAGTGGGTCAGCATTTTGATGGTTAAAGCACATAATGAGGAAGGAACATATCGACTCCTCACCGCTTGTCAAACATCCTCTGAAGAGCGATACAGAAGGGCGGCAGTATAGCCATCTGTATGAACGAGCCCTTAATTTGTAAATACTGTCTGCCCTGTAGACGGAGTACAGTGTTTAGGCATAAAAAGTACTTTTTCTCTAAAATGGTCTCCCTCCTTCACATCACTGCAATACATAAAAATTATAAACTTACATAAGACAGACTTGACAGGCTCTGATGTAAATTTATATATAGCCCCAAAATTATTTTTAATACTATCATCATTCTTTCATGTGGTTATACAGTTACACTGGCTGTTCCATTTTATTCGAGAACAAAAATAAATTACAGTATAAATGTTAATGCACATACAGTTGTATTCAAAAGTTTTCAGACCCTTGGAGAATTGGTTATCTAGAGTTTGTACCATTTTTAAAGAAAACATGAATGAGTGAGCAGGCAAAACACATTTCTTTTATTCCAGAATTCATATTCAACTATAGATCATAACAGAATGAATCAATCAGAAAACAAAACACGGCAACAAGTAAAGAAATGAAATGACTCCTGTCAAGTCTTTGGTGACCTTGCATGATCTGCATGTTTGAGATCAACCCAGAGTGGCTTGATGATATAAAGGTCAGGAGACTGATGACCACTCTAGAACTATTACCTTTTTCTGCTATAAACACTGGAGGGTCTACTTGGCCTTGTGCGTAGGGTCATTGTCGTGCTGGAATGTCCAAGCGCGTCTCATGTGCAGCTTTCGTGCAGAAGAAAGCAAATTGTTTGGCAGTATTTTCTGATAACATGCTGCATTTATCTTGTCATCAATTTTCACAATATTCCCCATGCCTCTAGAGTTCACACACCCCCAAAACATCAGTGAGCCACCACCATGCTTCACAGTGGGGATGATATGTTTGTCACTATTGGCCTTGTTGACCCTTCTCTAAACATAGTGCTTTTGGTTGTCACCATAAAACTCTATTTTTCTTTCATCACTCCAGATTACAGTGTGCCAGAAGCTGTGAGGAGTGTCGTTGGTTGAGCATATTGCATAAGGGCTTTTTGTCGAAATTGGTGCAGTAAAGGCTTTTTTCTGGCAACTCTATCATGCAGCTAATTTTTTTCCCAAGTATCATTTTGTGCTCCTTGAAACAACCGGATCTTTTTCCACAGCAGCCAGTTTTTCTCCTGAGGTTACCTGTGGGCTTTTCTTTGCATCCTGAACAATTCCTCTGGCAGTTGTGGCTGCAATCTTTCTTGGTCTGCCTGACCTTGGCTTTCCACTTCCTAATAAGTGATTGAACAGTACAAACTGGCATATTCAAGGCTTTGGATATCTTTTTATATCCTTTTCCATCTTTGTAAAGTTCCATTGCCTTGTTAGGCAGATCTCTTGACAGTTCTTTTCTGCTCTGGCTTAGTATCTAGCCTGCTCAGTGCATCCACGTGAGAACTAACAAATTCACTGACTATACACAGACACAATTTGCAATTTAAAAAGCTAGATGTGGGAAATTAACCGTTAATTGCCATTTTAAACTGTGTGCAACACCACCAAGGCCAAACATCCCAGGGTATGTAAACATTTGATCAGAGCCATTTTGTTGATTTGTGTAATATTTTATATAGTTTAAAAAGGAGCCAAAACAACTATGTGATCATTAATCACTTCAGGTAGCAGAAACAAAGAAGAAGAACTTTTTTTTTTATTCCCTTCACATTTGTTTTACATTTTGAAGTCATTTTGTATTTGCTTACTAGCCATTTCCCTGGGATAGGGTTCTTTGGTTATGTGCCTACAGGCTTCAATGATGGAAACTCATCCCTGGATGAAGACATTTTATGTATCTCTGCTAGATGTTTGATATCTGAATGGATATTTGTCCCCTAAAAAGTTTATGGTTGCTCTGCAGAGAAGATACGTCTCTGAAAATCACATATCTATTTCTCTGCTATTGAGATTCAATCCTAATTTTGACAGACAGAGACAAGAAAACAATATGAAGCATTTAACAATTTGACACATCAAAATTATTGATAACAGGAATAGTCTAACACACAAGAGAAATGTGTTTTGTAGGAAAACCATATGGGCTTTTATTTTGACAGCAATTACTACTGCCCATCAGTAAGTACCCTGTACAATTTCAAATGTCATTGTTATGATGATCAGGGCTGCTAACTATACATCATAAGACTGAATAGTGAGCGCTGTCATGGGTTTTAAGCAGCGTAACAATTATCTGTTGTCCAAGACAATGTAATCACATGAGCAGCTAAAATTTGACAGTTATTGAAAGTTTAAACTGTTAGGCAAGTCCAAACCTAGATATAAAAGGTTTAAAGGGTTTTCTATTTAATACTAAAAATGTACAATATATTGCCAAAAGTATTGGGACACCCCTCCAAATCATTGGACTCAGGTGTTCCAATAACTTCCTTGGCCACAGGTGTATAAAATCAAGCACCTAGGCATGCAGACTGCTTCTGCACACATTTATGAAAGAATGGGTCGCTCTCAGGAGTGAATTCAAGCGTGGCACCGTGATAGGTTGCCACCTGTGCAATAAGTCAATCCGTGAAATTTCCTTTCTACTAAATATTCCACGGTCAACGGTTAAGGGTATTATAACAAACTGGAAGAAACTGGGAACAACAGTAACTCAGACATGAAATGGTAGGCCATGTAAATGACATAGCGGGGTCAATGCATGCTGAAGTGCACAGTGTGTAAAAGTCGCCAGCTGTCTGCAGTCTATAGCTAAAGACCTCCAAACTTTGTGTGGCCTTCAGATTAGCACAACAGTGTGTAGAGAGCTTCATGGAATGGGTTTCCATGGCCGAGCAGCTGCATCTAAACCTTATTTTACCAACTGCAATGCAAAGCATCAGATGCAGTGGTGTAAAGCACACCGCCACTGGACTCTAAAGCAGCAGAGACATGTTCTCTGGAGTGATGAATCACGCTTCTGTCCGGCAATCTGATGGACGTGTCTGGTTTTGGCGGTTACCAGAACGGTACTTGCCTGACTGCATTGTGCCAAGTGTAAAGTTTGGTGGAGGGGGGATAATGGTGTGGGTATGATTTTCAGGGGTTGGGCTTAGTCCCTTGGTTCCAGTGAAGGGAACTCTTAAGGCATCAGCACACGAAGACAATTTGGACAATTTCATCCTCTCAACTTTGTGGAAACAGTTTGGGGATGGCCCTTTCCTATTCCAAGATGACTGCGCACCAGTGCACAAAGACATGGATGAGCGAGTTTGAGGTGGAGTCCTGACCTCAACCAGATAGAACACCTTTGGGATGAATTAGAGTGGAGACTGCGAGTCAGGGCTTCTCGTCTGACATCAGTGCCTGACCTCACAAATGTACTTCTAGAAGAATGGTCAAACATTCCCATAGACACTCCTAAACATTGTGAACAGCATTCTCAGAAGAGCTGAAGCTGGTATAACTGCAAATGGTGGGCCAACTCCATATTGAACCCTACAGACTAAGACTGGGATGCCATCATGTGTGTGTAAAGGCAGGCATCCCAATACTTTTGGCAATATTGTGTATGTATGATTTTCTGGCACTAGGAACTGCATTCTGTTCTCCACATAAGCTGGCCGTGCACTTAGGTTTTTCATTCAGCCAGCGGGCTGAATAAGAGAAAAAAAACAAAAGAGAATCCTCTTTCCCCACAAATTAGGTAGATGGAGGAACCCCCCAATCCTGCCAGGCCATTGTATTGGAGAGCGGCAACCACAGTTGTCAGAATAAACTAATCAAGAACATTTTTCAACATGTCCTTCAGCAGAACTCGATCAAATGACCAACTTCTGTCAGGTCACAGACTGCTCATAATTTTTATCAGTGTACGATCTAGATACTGACCAAAATTCATTGTTACAATAATGCTCTAAAACTGCTATCACATTTACATGTTAAATACTGGTATATAAAAAGCAAGAAACTATAGCTGGACATGTAAATCTTAAAGTAGAACTATTTGCAAAACACTTGTTTTCAATTAGGATAGAGTAAGGGAGAGCTATAACCCATGTCAGATTTTATTTTGGGCCATTTGTGTCCCATTAAGGAAATTTACCTTCACTTCATGTCCCATAGCCAAGACAGATAGTGAGAGGAAATCCCTGCAAGTAAGGAAATCCCTTGGGGACCCCCAGGTCACCTGATCTGGTGTCCCCATTTGCAGATTTCCCCCCTATTACTTTTCCAGGGACAACCCAAAATTTGGGATTTTCTTTTAATTTCACTTTCAACAATGGTAAAAAGGATGAATAGAAAAGGTGAAGACAACAATAAAAACCTTACAGGTGTTCTAAACCAACTCTTCTTTCCAAAACTAAAACAAGTTTTGCCCTTAGTTATACTATGCCTGAATGACAGTTTACCATAGCATCGTGCATGATACAATTGTAAGTTTGGGTTTTAAATAAAATACTTGTCATCACCTTTTTCATCCTTTGTTACACTACAGTTCTGCTAGTCTCCTGCAGCCTCTGTGCAGCTACTGCCAGGCCATATGCATTCCAGAGATGGCTATTCGAATACATGATGTGTGTGAGAGCAATGGACTGATTGAAGGAAGGAACACTTTTTAAGGTATGTCCATCAGAACCAGTTTTCACTTCTAAGAAGCAAATCTGTGATTAAAATATAGTGTGGGTGGTCCCTTTTCTGATCTTAGACTGCTACCTCTGCTGCTACACAGGGAATGCTTGCTAGATGGTAAATTCTTGGATGTAGAAGGAGGGGAACCTGGTACAAAAGTTTATCTCACTCAAAAGGATTTTTTTTTTTTAATAGTTAAATGCATTGAATACAGTAAATACATTTAGGTGGGAAAAAGCCTCCCCTTCTTCAGTACCTGAGTAGCTGATAATAAAATCACAAAAGAATGAGCTATGACTGGTATTAAGACTTGATGAAGACAATCTTCTGACAGCACTCAGCTGACTGCCTTCAGGAGACTCTAGTCTTCATCAGGCATTAAGACAGGTCCTAGTGCATTATGTCATGATTTTATCATTAACTGAGAGTGAGATGAACTTTTGTACCAGGTGCTCCTTAATACATAACCAAGCAATAGCTGAATGACATTTTCCCAGGGTAGATTGCCTGATAGTGACAACAATGGACCATGCCTCCGTCGTGCTTATGGAAAGGCCACTTAAAGTCTATCGGAGATTCATGTGACAGGATGGCAACATAGAAACATAATCAGAAGAGGGATAATGCCACCCTAGAACAGGACATGCCTCCATTGCTACCTTTATGACATGACTGCCAAACATATGTTAATGAAGGTTACAAATTTAAAAACTATGACCTTATTACATTACACTTATCACATTACATTCATTTCAGAAGTTTACAGGAGATTTTAGTGATTAACATGTATTTTAACCCCTTCATGTTTTTATGTGAAAGGGCATGAAATTGGATTAATATTTTTATGTAATGAGAACATTAAAACAAACCCTGTTAAAATGAATGACTTTCCGGTGGGTATCAGTAAGGTAGTCTCAATACCCCCTATGCTTGCTCCCAGACATAACACAATAACTGACATATCAATAAACAGCATTTTGCTCCTATTGTTTGTCAGCTCCATAAAAACCTTGTGTGCTTCTGGGGAACTCATAAAAAGACACAATTTCACATCTGAAAAGTTTGGCTAATACTGCCCAGCGTTACGTACTACTGATGCAGCATATAAAGAATGCATTTCGTATGCCACTCACTGCGAAGACAAGAATAAACAAATCATACTAGTAGAGTTCAAGTCAAGCCTTGCCTTTCTTCTGCTGAAGGCCTTGCGAGAGATTGTAATTAGATTGCTAAATCCCAGGATTCCAAGCTGTTCGGAAAATCACTTTTGAAACTCTATTCATCCATCGGCCCCTATATTTCTCCTCCATGAGAAATTGAATTTACCATCCGCTGCGCTCTATAAAAATCAGCTATGCAAGAACAAACAAACCACTCACGCCAAGCTTCGGCCTGTGAAGACGTGTAGACAAATGAGAGAAGCCATACATATGGAAGAGGTGGCAGTAGTTTGTTTCAGGGAAGGTGATATCAGTTTGATGGAGATTTTGTAAAAGTAGTTCATGTGTGCAGTTTCCAGATTTATTTAAAAAAAAAAAAAAAAAAAATCACTGTTTTTGTCATTCATTTTACAGTATTTTATTTTCCTATCTGGAGGCCATAACTATTAAACAAGGTATTTAAAGTCTAGACCATCAATGAAGCCATGCACTAAAAAGTCATGAAGGGGGCTAAGCAATAGTTACCAGTATTGCTTGCAGGCCTCTTAAAGCTAATGTTTTCCCCAGAATGGACTTACCATGCCTCATTCTGCTTGGTGTCTGGGTGTGACAGCAGCCATTTTGGTAAAGGAGCAGGACAAAAGCACTGGTGTGGGGGATCATCGAGAGGCAGCGGGAGAAGAGGAGGGACCACAGACCCAGTGGAACAGGTGTGGGAAAGGGGACATCATGAGGCCACAGACCACGTTAAGAAAGGAATAGATTGTCATACTGATACAGCACAGGGGAAAAACAAAGGCTGTGAGGAACAGTGGGAGGCAGCGGGAACAGTGTAAGAGGATGATTTCTGATATCTAGATCAAAATTATGTAAAAAGGGGCATAGAGATCCCTCTACTGCAAGTCCTCAGTTAGAGCTTCCTCTCTGGAAAGCCCTCAGAAGATGAATGAGTACTGCAGCTTTAGTGTGGAATTCAAGGCAAAAGGTAGAATTTTCAGGGTACTGCTAAGACACAATTAAAGTATTACTAAAGCGAATTCTAATTATCTGACCTCCGCCCACCCCCTCACCGCTTCTCTGTGTAAAGGTTAAGAGAGGAGAGAATAGACCCAGTGCTGTGCACGGCTGCATCTATTCTCCCCCTTTCTTTCTCTTCACACAGAACTCAAGTAGCAGCAGGAGCCGTTGGCTCTTGCGGTCAATAAAATGCAGCTAGGAGGAAGTGGGGGAGTGCGGCTAAGTCCTGCTTGTAAGTCTATGGAGCGTGACTCCATAGACACACAGCTCGGGAGCGCGCAGACACTATGTGCCTCCATAGCAAGTGGCTTGCTATGGGAACACACGAAGATGAGGTGGAGCTAGGATCACCATCACAGGACCCGAGAATAGGCAGATCGGGGCTGCTCTATGCAATACCGCTGCACTGAGCAAGTGAGTAAAATGTTTATTATTTTAATTTTAAAAAAAGTTTGACTTTAATAACACTTTAACCTTCATAGTTGTTCCTTATAAGATGGCAAATCTTCAATATTTGAGGACAGGTCTACTTTCATGTTTTACAAAGTGGAAATAATTCAATAACATTAACCACCTGTAAAAGAGAGTACCAATAAAATCTGTAATCATATGAAGAGCACACATCAACATTACCAAATCCAATTATTATTGTATGTGAAAAAAAGCACATCTTTTTAGTCATGTTAAAAAAGCCACCTCCAGCTTTGGCTACTAGATCACATGGTCTGACTACCAGGTGCACTGTGGGTGTTCTACTTTATTAGACTGCAGAAAATGCATTTTTTTTAGCATAAAGATCCACCAGACTTGCAGTGAAATAAGAGAATCAACAAGGTGAAAAATCTAATAAACATTAATAAGACTGTTATCCCCCTTTAGGATTCAAACAGTGTAATCTCTAGATAAGCTCTATTATCAGTCTATTCAATGCTCCATTGTTTTGCTATAGTGTGTCTTGAATATGCATTATTGTAGATTGTTTTTCTAAAACAGGGCAATTTGCAATGCATAACATCTCTTCATGTCTAGACTCATCAGTTTTAAATTTTGAAAAATGCAACATGCAGGAGGTTACAGCTGGATCAATGGTATGACTTTATTTACTTCCTCATAAAAATCAATGTTAAAATTCCTGACCCTCATGCTGATAAGAATAAATGTCATACAAGAGAAAAGAAGTATCATGCCATAGATCCATACTGGCTTTTATTCTGAGTGCACCTCCTAATGCTTATCAATAGCATATAAGGAAATGTGTCCCAGGTGCCCTTGTGGAGACAACAAATGGCTGGAATACTCGCTAAGAGTGGTAATTTCCACCTAAATACACATTTTTTGAACTTCCTGTACACAGACAATCACACATTAAACATGTTACAGCCTGGACTGCAGAACATGAAAACCATTAGCGGC